GGTGATTCGCACGTCCCTCGAATGAACGAATCGCTCGAGTCCCCGTGGCTTCTTATTCCACGGTGGTCCTCGCACGGAATCCTGAGTTCAATGCCTCTTTGATGAGCGTTCCCTTCTCCTTCGGCTCCGCGGCCATCGTCGCGAACAGTCCACCTTTTCTCCCTACCCATCCGTTCCCATACGATCCATCTATCGACGAATCTGATCGATCGAAAGCAATCGATTCGGATCGAATTCGTGTTCCGGTCGATGATCGAATTCTTGTTTCTTTTTTTTTTATTATATTTTTATTTGCTTTCTTTTTCGTCTTCGTCTCTGTCTTTGATTTGAATAGGAATTTGATGCATTCGGTTTACGCTCCTCGCCTCCTTCGTCTTTATGGTATTCTTTCTTTTTTCGTTAATTTTTCTTCCTGTTGATAGAGAATCACGCGTGGTTGTAGGTGAAACTGCGTCGAATAACTTCCCGTTGATAATCATCGTGAGAGAAGGTGGGGCAAATTTATGTGCGTTGGCTCGAACTGGCTGCGTGCAGGTGGAAAATCAGCGAGCCTCGACGATAGCGTGCATTATATAACACTAAGGCTATTTTCAAGTGTCGAAGAAATTTATGCGGGAACTATTTTTGTCGCCAGATGGGAATTGGCGATCGTTGATGACTGAATTCTGTTCTTTTTTTCCTATTTAAATGTTATTTATTTGAATAATTATTAGGAGGATGAAGTGAAATATTTATGAGATTCCGAGAAGAAATTGTGTAATCGAGATATATTATATTTTATATTTATCATTTAGAAAAATGTTTAGAAAAATTTTATAAATATTTATAATTTTTCAATTTCTACTTTATCCGACTTTATTATTATAATAGTGTGGAGTATTAATGAAACGAATTCATGAGATATTTGAAGAACGAAATGATCATTCTAACGAGAATTCATTTGACGAATTTATTTATTCTCAACTTGTCAGAACGTTAATTGATCAGAAAACTCATCCACTGTAACCGAAGTTTTAATTACAGCTACATCACAGCTAAATAAAATCTATATTTTAATTGCTTCTTTTACATTACAAATAATATTAAAGATACATAAGCAGCTCATAAAAATGCAATCTACATACAACATTAAAAGCTACCAACCGAATCTTATTTAACAATACCACGTTAAAGAATCATGAAATTGTAAAATACATAAATTATATTTCCATAATATAATTAATCTCAGTTCACAGATGTTATAATAAATTTACAAATATATTTTCTGTTGAAAAGGGTTCATTATAAAACATCAAAAGCGTTTAATTGTGACGAAAGAAATAAGAGATTAATATTAATCGAGCATCGAACGTTAAGCGAAAAATAATTGCCAGTAAATCTTCCTCAATGACGACTTAATTCAAACGGACTTTCTCTTTCGCTTGTGATCTTCGACGTGTACAACTTTAGCCCGTAACATCTTGCAGATAACAATCGAGATAGAAAGAGAGGGAGAGAATGAATTTATGCAAAGGTGTGTTCAAGTGGGTGGAAAATCAGAGCCGGTGGGTGGTACAAATAATTCATGTTTGTTGGTAAGGAACAAGAGGAACCTTTAATTTTTTTCGAAGAATCAAACGTGAGAATTGGCTGATAAAAATGCGATTTATATATACGAATGAAAAAGTTCTATATACATTCTAAAAATTCGATATTTCTTATAATATTCAATTTAAAAAATACGTATTATGTAACTAAAGATTTTATCTTTTACGATATGAATCAATTAAATTGAATCAAATGGCATTAATTTAAATTATTTTAGATATAAAGATATAAAATTAAAAATATTGTTTGAAAATTACATATTATAATTTAAAATGTTTTTTATTTACAAAAATGCCAATTATAACTTATATGGGACAAAGAAAAGCAGAGTTGAAAATTTAAGTTATAAGATGTAATAAGATTCATTCTAAATATGTTAATATATGTAATGTCGACGATTCTTTCATCTTTTTTAAGCACTTAGACGCTTCAGTTAATCCATCTTGTTTTTTTTTCTTCTCATTTTCCCAAATATGTGCTTTCCTGCGAATTGCTGCAATTGTATACATTTCATAGTGTGGTTCGTCATTCATCATAGTGACAACAGATTTTCAGAGATTAGAGAAATGCAATTATCGCCGTATTATTTTATCACTGAGTAAATCATGCGAAAAAATTCTATTAATTTCCCATTCTATCTAGAATTCTATAATCTAAGATTTCTTTGGTCTCTTAATATAGTAATTTACTCATCATCAAGTCCGTATTTTGAAACATTAACATTAATTATTTATTATTATTTCTTCGAAGAATAATATCTTTTGTTTTTGTTAACTTCTTTCAATCGTAAATGATAATAATCAAAAGTAAGAATATTAATCTAAAGAAATATAATTAATCTAAAACTACATAATTAATATAATAAGTCTAAAATAATATATGTGTATATATATTACAAATATACAATTGTATAAATCAATGAATTTTGAAAGTACAATAGACTAAAATAATTTTCATTAATAAGTACAGAAATAAAATACAATACGAATTAAATTCATTTGTGTAAAATTTTAATTGAATTGGCAAAAATAATGCTTTGAACATTATTTCTCAGATCCCTCAGTTGAAAGAAATCGATGCGTCCAAGATCGTATCAAACGTAAAAACGTACGTGAATTTATAGTGAAAATATATCGATCCAACGATTCACCACTACGATCTCGCCACGGATTACGACGTCCTAACTGCCGACGTCTCGCAACCCCTCGTTTACTTGCGTTCCATTTCACGAAGACTCAAAACACTGCCACGAACAGCTGTTTGAAGCTTAAAGGCAAGGTCGCAGCCTTACGCTGCGTACGCAATGCCGCTCGTTTCAACACGTCGCTGAATGCGTGGTTGTATGCGCAAGTGCGCGTGCGTGCATGCGTGTGCCTGCGCATTCAAGTACACTCACGTGCAAACATGAGTACGTGACACGTCACGAGTGCAGTGTACTCTATGATGATATACATACACAGTTCTTGTCATATACATAGAAGAATGTACATTAAAAAATTATACAATATATAGTTTGATTCACAGTAAATTGTTCAAGAGTAATAATACAATATGGTATTTCTAATTCATGGTCACATATATCTATATATATGAATATATATAAATGTGTTAATTTGATTGCACAAGAAGAATTTTTAATATTTTTAATTAAATAAGAAAAGTTTACGTTTTTTTTTTCTTCTCTGAAAAGAAAATACAAAAATTGTTTCGTGTGTATATATAACTGACGTACTGTACTGTTCGACCCACGTGTGCGTGCGCACATGCGCGCCACGTACATATGCTCATGCGCCGTGGAGCTGGATTGTGCGTGCATGGACACGTTTTACAGTCGCAGGGAGAGCCACTGTCGTTACCACCGCACATAACTATAGTTATGCAATCCACCAACTTGTATTCATGGTCAAGGCCTGCGTCCTTACCGCTAGATACGTATACTAACATGCACACATCGCAAACGACGGCTGTGCAAGGAGTTCACGAGTTATGCAGAAAAGAGGGGCGAGGTTACCAGCGAAAAAATAAGGACCGAACATTATCGAATTCATACGAGAACGACGAATAAAATTGAACGAAGCCAATAGGTCGGTATACGAAACCGGATTGTCCAGAAACATTAATGGAATGAGCGTTCAGATTAAAAAATGTGATTCCGTTTGCTCGTTTCAGAAAAAAAATATGAGTTTCGAGTTCGATCGCTTACTTTAATTGCTTTTACTTAATCTTTCGTTCGTACTGATAAACAAACATATAATTTTGCCGATGCCGGGAATGAAATTTGCATAAATGCGAAAATTATATGAAGTAAAACAAGTTCTTTCCTCTAAATAAGAAAATAAAGATTACTTGCTTAATGAGGTTATATCATCTTTTTCCAAGTTTCCTCCATACATAAAAACAACAAGCATCATTTTAATAAGTTGTTTGTTTCTATGTTTCAAACAGAAAGTATGTAGAGCGAAACGCAATGATGAAGTTTGCTAACAAAGCATTCACCGATGAACGATATACCGAATAAGTAAAAGCATAGTCGATGGAAACATACAATTGCCAAACGTAGAAGAAAAGGATGCGTAGAGGAAACATTCTTTTACTCGACAGTCGGCGAATGAACGTACATGATTGTGTTAGTGTACACACAAACGTGGTGTTAGTAAAGGTAATAGTAATGCATGAAGAAAACAATAATAATACAGAAATACAGCAATGATTTAATATAACTGAGTTATAGGAAGTGAATATTATTAGCATTTGCTTATGGTGGATCTATGCGCGAACATTTATCTTTCTCGTTTCTCATATATTCGTTGTATGTTCACGTGTACTTCGATACTTGTACAGGGAAGTATGTACTTCAAGTCGAATATGTACGCACTTATCTACGCACCTGTATATACATGTATATACATGCTGTATGTGACAATGTGCGTAAGTACGCGCAAAAAACAGTGTACAACAGGTACAACAGGCAGAATTACAGCAGGTCAGCAAGAAAGGAAATAATCACTCTTCATGTGTGTTTAACGCGTTGACGGACGCGTATGCATATGTGTGATGGTATACGTAATATGTGTGATGTAACTTACACAGTGCTTGAAATGTGCGTGCGATTAAGACGCGCTTATTTGTGCCCCGAACGAGTTTTGATGCGAACGAAATCACTTCGCGGTAATCACGGTCACGCCTTTTATCTCATGAATAATGATTCCATTGGAGGAAGAATCGCTATGCTTATGAGAGTTCTACACAAATAGACAGATCTATCGCGTTTGAACATTATTATTTTGATGTTGTAAAATATGATATGAAAACAATTCAATGAAAAAATGAAATTTAACTTATGAAAATAACGTTAAAAGTCGAATTATAAAATAATGAATAATTTTTGAAATTTGAAAGTATTTTTATTAGGATATTTTAATTTATTTTTTAAAAATGATAAAATTTATAAAGAAAATTTTCGTATTATATTTATATAATTCTTTGGATAATATATATTTCAAAATAGTATCAAAGAATTCGTATTAATCAAGAGTGCGACTCTTGCATCAGGAAGTCAGAATGTACAAGTTCGATCAGATACATTTAAAACGACCAATCTTAATCAATTTCCCTTAATTTTACCGTTGCATGACCACTCGTACTATACATATAGTGGACAGTTCAATGGCGTTGCACTTACCAACGCCAACTCGAATCTCTCTCTCTCCTGTTAAAGGAATCTCTCCTATTTATACCGTCGTGTTATTAGCATTGCCATTAGCCAAGTCTCCCTTTCTTGTAACAAAACCTATCTATAAATAAATATCCTTTTATAAATTACCGATTAACATATTATTTAATTATTGATTAGGTTATGAAAATTTATTAAAAATTAATTTTATATAAATCTTTATAATCAATTTATCCTTGAAATTATACAACTTTTTTTTTTCATTGAAATAGCAATTACTCTAAACTTTAAGTTTACATAATATTCCTATAATTTCCTTTCTGAAATGTCAAACAGTAATATATTAAATCTAATCTTCAAAGTATACGCTATTTTTGCAAGAATATTTTGTAAGAGTACTAATTGACAATCTCAGGAACGAATCCTCCAAGTTAATTTACTCGAAAAACAATATTCCAGAATTCACTTTATATTGTCAAGAAGATTGCGCGCAACGGCAATACTAAACAAAGCAACGAATAGCAAATGGATTGCCGGTTTCCGGGCTGACGACTTGCAAGCGAGTCGAGTCGGTTGCAATGAGATTGGTGCGTAACATAATATCGAAAGAACGAATAAAATTTTCTTTTCAATTTCGTATCATGAATCTGTCTATGTTCAGCTATTATTATCGTATGTGTTATCTTGTTAAAAATGTATCTAAAATATTCAATCGATTTACAATCAACACAAGAAAAAAGAGACAAAGAAAAAGAAAGAAAAAGGAATGGGAAAAGAAACAAGCGATTCAAGACGTATCGTGGTAGAGTCGATGCATGCACTCTACACGTGGCTGTTTCTGACCATTGCTGCACGTGTATCAATCTTTGGGTTCACCGCGTATTCTATATGCCATGATTTCATTTATTCGACGTATATATACAATGAAAAAAAAAAGGAAGAGAAAAGGTGCGATGGAAACGCGACTCGATCGCGTTGTGCATTGCACACCCGTGCTACACACGCGCGGATTCGCATGCGCGCGCACATACACATTGGCGCACGCGCACACTGGTACTATCACTTCACTGATGATATACCCTACCGAGAGTTCATTGCTCTTGAGGTGCAACGGAGAACGACGAAGATTCGCTCGAGAATGTTGAAGAGAGAAGAAGCAACATAGAGGGAGACACAAACTAGTATTGGCGCAATGGAGAGAGAGACAAAAACGAAGACGCACGGAAGACGAAAGGGAATGAGCGAGAGACCGAAGAAAACACTGTCAAGGAGCTCTGAAAAGTCAAAAGAAGAAAACGAGAAAGAGAGAGAGAGAGAAAAAGATCGAGGAGTATTTACCACACGCTTCGATGACTTTTAATAATCCACACGCGATTCCCAGCGCGCCACTCCGAGTCAAGTTAACCACTCTCGATGCCTTCGTTTTCTCTGGTTGCACGCACATGTTCGAGAGAAATGGCAAGGCCGGTAGGAAGCGATTGGGTTAAACGTTCGTTCAATGAATATCCGACGGGGAGTATCGCTTTCGTATTTAACCTAACAACACGTTACGCCTTATATCTGTGGCCGATCAACTGCATGTGCTTGCGAGACATCTATAGAAATCGTGACTGCATACGAACTGCCTCAAGAGCATTTCCCTTGCCTGACCGATGATAGTAATCATCGCTAATCAGGAGCCAACTCTTGGACCTTAGGGAGCCAAGTGCTCAGTATGAAACAATTAAGATCGTGTGTCGGATGATCGCATATAATTTCAGTAAATTGTTTCTCAAGTTTCGTCGACGACAGTGCTGCTTGCAACATCGAGATCAATTCACTTCTAACGCACGATTCATTTTGAAAGTAATGAATTATTATGAGAATTGATAAATCAAGATCTCGATTAAAAAATTGGAAAATATTGGACATGATCGTTCGTCGAACGTACCAACTCGAGCTTGTACCGGACACGTACCGGGTGCAATGTACCTGGATGAGTCACACGGTAACAGCGCACACATTCGCGTACGCACATGCGTCTCCACGCGCGATTCGCGCTCGTGTGCGCGCGCATCTTTTGTCCTTCTCTCTCGCTTTAGGTCGCGGTCGGTGATACTTGTTACTTGCCGCGCGCCAGAAAGAACGAAGAAACGCTGTAACTCGCGCGCGATACGCGCCACGCAACGAAGACAGAGAATAGAGCAACGAGCAAGATGGAAAATAAAAATCCAATCATTTCGACCGGTTTTGCATCGTGCCGACGAGGATAATGGAATACTGCGTCACTTTTTGCCGGTGCACAGAATATTTTCTCGCGTTAATATCCGCGCATTCTACCCCTACTCTTTACTTCGTATATGCGCCAGGTACGTATCTAACCATAGTATTACATGCTGTACACCAAACGTGACTGGCGCCAATGAGGTTAAACGATATCTAAGTTTTGCGGAAGCGTTAATTTCTATCTGTTTCTTTTTTTGTTTATTTTTCGTATGATTGCAAAGTTTAAATGCAAATTAATTACAATTATAATTAAAATTCAGAATAGAAACATTATTAGTTATTATAGTTATTTTTTTCGAAAAAGATTATGTTATTAGTTTTTTTTTTTATAAAACTTCATTAGATTCATCAACCACTTTTAATTATAAAAAGTTACTTTAACAGGTTATTCTCTTTTTCTTTCTATATCGCATTAAAATATTTCCTTTTAATTCAAACAGATGAAAATTAAAAGTTTCAACACTAAAATTCATTCTCTTATTTCCGGTCTACTCTAATCATGGATTTTAATGCGATTAACCAGTAGTTATGAATAGAATAGAAATTTTAAAGGCACGCGTTATATAAACGTGTGAAACTGCACAAGTGTCAAAAGTATCTGGTAGCCATGAGGCTTCGGGGCAAGGAAATGATGCTATAAATCCCTCGAATGGGGATAGAAAGTTAAATTTATCCGAGTAGGACAAATTGATCTTGCGGGAATTATTTTTAAGCGTATTATAGATTAATTGCAAATAATTTCAGAACTGTTGATCCGACTTTTTACCGTTATTTTTCTATGCGATCTTAAAAATGCAACGTCACGATAATATAATCCGCCACGAAACGATATACGTCACGGATCCTTTAATGATAATTTTAGCACGATTCTATCTCTTTTCTCACAGAAGAACTGGATTATCAAAGTAGAGGGGATGATTACACACGCGCGTGCAAAAAATCCGGAAACGTATCGAAAAGGTGAACGCCATACGAAGACAAGAAACGAGTATCTGGTGAATATAATACATGAATATTAATAAAGCACGTTGACTCGACACACGACTCTGACTTGCTTATATTACACTCGGAAGTAACCGGCAATTATTCAAAACCAATGACCACGTTGGGAGAATCTTTTGAACGACCAACCATTTATATGAAGGAATTCAAATGTTTTGTACGATCGATAATGAGAATTGTAAATTTTTCTTTCGTCAAACAGTTTTATTATGAAAATTTTGTCCTCTCTTTAACAATTTTTATTAAACAGGATATTCTCTTCTCTAAATGTATATACTTTATTTAGAAAAAAAAAAATTTCTGACTTTTTAAACTTGGATTTTATTATATACATATACGATAAAGTTTTTACTTTAAAAATTGTTATAAATTAAAGTAATTAAAGATGCGTATTTTTAAAATAAGACATAAGAATATTTACTACTTATATATACCGTTATATATTTTTTCTTTTTTTCAGAATTCAAAATCGATCTCAAACAAAATTCATCCATCACGCCTCAATTTAAGGTTTTCATCTACGATAACGATTAATCAGCACGAGCTGGATCTATTCAAATTTCGCCATATACGAGAAGAAAATAGTTGAAAGTTTCGAGTCGCATGATCAATCATTCTCAAATGCAAAATTGGTAACAAAGGAGCGCTATCGATCCTTACCACGAATTAATCAAATAATTCGAGGCGAGCGACGAAGCGGCGAGGGAAGGAACGAGAAGGAAGGCGGTCAGAGAAGAACATCGAGAGACTTTTAAAACGGGGTTGCGTAATCCTTTGGATTTAGTTTACTTTCGTCGGTGTCGATGCCACGCACGTAGCGTGACCGTGGCACTGAACCAGCGGCACGAACTTTCTCGTGGCCTTCGTTCCAGGAAGACGATTTACGTGACATGAGCAGGACGCCAATGACTGCGAACGGTCATCGACGGGGCCGAGCAACGCCTCTCCATCAGAGATAGCCGTGAATACAACTCGATTTCGAATTGATTATCGCCGTGCTAGCTCAAGGGAATCGAGTCCTAGTGAAATGAATTTTTTAAAACACGGTGACGCAATATTACGTAATGGTACAAAAATAGAAAAGCTAATATGGAAGCTAAGAACTAACTATTACTTTTCCCTCGTGCCAAACATATATAGGTTGCCTTTTTTTTTTTTTATAATATTATTTTTCCTGACCGTTTGTTTTTCATTTTAGAATATTTTAGATATACAGTGTAAAGATTTTTCGATAAAAAAAAAAAAGGATCACATGGTGGCGCTATTAATTCGCAAGAAATTGATAAATGACATTTTTTAATTTTTACAAAAGAGTAGTTTTAAAATTGAACTTGTATAAACTCTTTGCGAAAAGGATCATATTTTGCTTCGGTATATTAACAAACATTCATTAAACGATTCGAAAAAGAAAAAAGTATTAGATCACTAAAAAGATTGTATGCATAAAAATATTATCCCACAAGTAAACAAGTGTAAAGTGGCAGATAATAGATTCGGTTTATGAATCGATAAGGAGTCGTATATGTATTTTACATTCTCTTAACCCTTCCATTTCTCTTGAGTCAATTTCACAATTACATCGCCATGATGGATAGGCAGCCCACATATATAAAACAACACCGAAGCGAAGAAAACTTTCCTCCCTCGTAATTCACCATCGATCAATAAAACTCAATCATTCCGCCGACAAATAAACAAGCGGAAAAATAGATCTATCAAAACGAGCAAACATTTAATATCGCCCATCCCATCTCGTCGTCTCACCCCCGTTCCTTTTTTCTTCTTTTTTTTTTACTTCCTAACTAAAACTCGAAACTTTCCTGCCTCCGCCCACAAGATAAAGACGATTTAAAAGAAGAGGATCGCGGGATGATTAATTCTCGAGAGAAGTTCGAAACACCGTGGCCAGAACTTTCTTGTTGCCAAGTTTCGAAAGAAGGGGGGAGAGGAAGAAAGCAGGAAGAAAAGAAACCGTGGATCGTGTTTCGGTGTATTAGACGCTACAAGGTGAACCGTGAGGATCGCGCTTTTAGGGGAGGATTCCCTTGGAACCAGACGGATGACAGGTGGAGAAATATTCACAAGCCTGTTCTCGGAGGGAGGGAGGGGGGGTGAGGACGCGTTATCGACACGAGACGTGACACGAGAGAGAAAAAAAACTCGAGGGGGACGAGGAAAAGGAATTTTTCTCCATCACGCCGCCATCCGAGTTTTAACGCGAGCCTCCATCTCAGGGGATAGTCCCGAATAGAATCAGACGAGGCGGAGAGGCCTTGACCGTTCCCGAGTTTGAAATTCAAAGTTGGATTTTCGGGAATCGTCGAATCTCTCTGATCGGCGGACCTTTTAGACGAATGTATAATTTAAACGGGCGGCCTCCACGCTTTTCGACGCTTCTCATGGTCAATGGAAAAGTGGTTACTGGCCCAGCCTGTCAAGTATACCTCGAATCAATCGCGATACGATGGTTCTAGAAAATTTCGTTTCTCCAGAATTTTTAAATCGTTAAATCGATTAAAGTGATTTTTTATATGATACGAATTGCGTGGTAAATGTATATTAAAAATTGCGATGGTTTTAGAAAACATTTACAGAGAATTTTATAATTAGATAATTAACGATGATTTTATATGTGACGATGTGTAAATAAAAATAGCAATGTAATAGTTTTAGAAAAACTTAATGAAAATATATTGCCTTGTGAAGGATTTTACAATTAGATTAATGATTTTATATAATAAATTCTTTACCTTATTCCAACAAGGAAGACGTCTTCAACTTTTGATCGCTGTACAAAGATAGAAACGGATAACTCGTATTGTTCTTTCGAAATGTCACAAACGTGAAATTTCGCCAAGTCTGCCTTCGACACGGCTGTATCTCGGATGAAATTCGAATCGCTCGCAAAAGATCCGAGGAAACAACCAGTTCTTTCAATTTAATCCTAAACCATCTTTCTTTCTAACTTCCTTAATTACCTTATCCCCAAAGTAATTTTTATTATCTTTTTGATCCCATATAATTCGATCACCAATATCAAAAATATCGAAACAATTTTCATCCCCATAATTCTAAACAATTAACTTGCCAATTAAGATTCAGACAATCACTTTTAAATTTTATCGAATCTATCAATCCACACGCTCCTCCGTCGAGCCATAAAGTCGAATAATAAAATTTCAATGCGAATAATTCAAACATCTGTTCCAACTTTCTCTCCCCCCCTCCCCTGTTTCATCGAGATCGATACGATTTTCACGTTTTCCCAGCGAAGAGATTCGCAGCAGCAAAAGGATCTACGGCAAAGAGACTCCAAAGAAGAAGAAAACGTGTATATACGAAACCGTCGGTTCACGAGTGAAATGTCAGCTCTCCTCCATTCTCTTTGTAAATAGGAGGTGGTTGGGGGTGGAAGAGTTCGATTCAGACGCGGACGACGAGTAAGAAACCAGTTTTCGATCCGATATTTCCTCCGAACAATGGGGAACGCTCGAAGAAAACTCAATTGAAAGAGAAATCGGTAGGCCGCTGGTAGCGAGCCCAAACCTTCGTTGGATTCGTATCGTGTATGTATATATATATATATGTACCTGATAGCATTGTGCTCGCCGCGAGACGAATTGCGAATATTGCCAGATACTCTCTGCCGACCTTTCCAATTTGTATCGTAACCTTTAGAGTGGAGAGGCTTCGGCGAAGGGAGCCGATCGAATCGATGGATAAACATCCGAGGAATCGTAAAGCGAGGGAATGATATCGTTAGAACAATTGAAAGTTTTCGCCAATGAGCTAACCGAACCCCGAAATTTCTTCTCTCTTGCCAATTGCGAAGAAAGATTTTCGTAATTCGATGTGAAGATCGTTGGTATGAAAATATATATCGCGTTGTATAACGACATTATTGTATTATAGTTATGATATATCGTTACGTATAAATTACTTGAAAATTTGCGAATAAAACATTTTTCATATCTTCTTTCTATAAATAAAATTCTTGCAGATCTTATATAGAATCAATAGAAATTGTTTGGAAAACGATAATGTTGTATTTAACATCCGAGAATATTAATAATAATCTAAATTGCTTTCGATAGTTAAATCGTACAATGGCGGATCGTAAAATTGAATCAATCAATTACGACATAACTCATTCATCCGTAATGATACGCGGTTTCTTTCCTCGCTCGCTTTCATATTCACGCGGCGTTACCAAACCGCGCGAGAAACCGCGTGTCTTCTCTTCTCTTTACGAAACATAACTTCTTCTTTCAAACTTGATGCGAAAAAAAAAAAATCTCCAAAATCGTTTGCAACTCGATCGCAAATAGAACGAAAAAAGAGAAAGAAAGAAAGAAAATCTGATAACTGAAGAGAAAATCAATCAACCGATTCGTATCGTAACAAAGAAAATCCACCTGGTAAATAATAATGAATCGGTAATGGAACAAGTGAAATTAAAAAATTAGATGAAAAAAAAAAAGGAAAAAAACGAAATGAAACAAACCTTGCTTAATGACGATGCCAGGGGGCACTTGGACAATCGGTAGGGCGGCGTTCGAGGGATTAACAGGGATGCTGGCCGGTGTTCCAGGCGGTGGCGATGCGCTGGCGCTACCAACGGAGCCTGGATCGCTGAATCCTTGCGTGCTGTTCTCCTCCGGGCCGTCGAAGAAGCTCAAATTGAACTCACTGCCTGCGTCGAACGACACTTCCGGTGTAAGGGTGTCTGGCGCCGGGGCGCTACCCAGACCCGCGCTCAGCGACTGGTCGATTTTGAAAACGTCCATTGTACGAAGAGGAAATGGTGATAACGATGGCGATCGCGCACCTCGCAACCAACTGCGGTCACCATTCGCGTACTCGACTCTCAACGTGATTCGATTCGCGTCCGTTTCGGATGTCTGATCACTTTCTTTCGTTTACGGATGCCTCTCCTCCCTCGCGCGTCTTTTTCTCAACCGATCTTTCTCTTTCTATTTTTTTTTTTTTTTATGTACTCTTATTTTTCACCGTTTCGAAAAATATCTCGATCGAGGGAGGATTCGATACGAGAGCAATCCCGTTTCCTTCGAATACCTTCGTTCGAGCCGAGTTTAAATCTTTTAACTTTCGTTTGAATCACGTTAACCGTGTGTATAAACCGAACTGGGAGAAAGTTGCGAAAGCGACTCGAGAAACGAAACACAATAGCGTGAAAAGAAGAGAAAAAAAAACAGGGTTCTTCGAAAAAGAAAAAAGGGTTCACGTGTATTCACTTTTTCCGTACCCACAACGATGCTTCACACTAATTTAATACCAAGGAACAAAGCCGGCACACATCCAGCGACGAATCGGGCCAATTTCAAAACTTTTCGATTTCCACTCGATTAACTTCGCTCCTCGGCTGTGTCCGCGTTTCCCCGAAACTTCACGAGCGAACGATCCCCGGCCGCATCTTGCTTTCCCACGAATCGATCCACGGGCGATCGTAGCTCGGCGACGACGACGACGGGGACGAGGGATAGCACGATGACGAAGGAGACCACGATATCGAAGAAGAGGGCGATGACGAGGAGGATGAAGAAGCGTTCGCAAGAAAATCGGCGGTGCTACGGTTTCGCGAAAGCATTCCTCTCCGAGGTCTCAGGTTCTCAACGCCGAGGTCAGTGGCCGTTACCTCCTCAGGCCGGATTCTCAATGAAGCTGCCCGCAGCCGACTGACGAACAATTTTGGCACATCCACGGCCAGTGGCCAACGGAGCGCGTTTTATCTGTTAATCTCTCGCCTTCAAAAGCGAACACATTAGGCGTTGCTCCCGTTCATACGATTCTCGTTATTCTCCAGACGCCGCCGGCCGGGGGCAATGCTTTTCGGTAGCCTTGAGCAGCCTATTATTCAATCTGATACGATTACGCGCGGATGCTTTATGAAGCTCACCGTGACACGTTTCTATTTTCTCCCGATCCTTATCGACGGACGACGGTGGAATCGTGTCGCGACGAATTTCACCGTTCCCAACTGTTTCACGCCTCGGTTATTATATATTACTTGGGAAAAGGAAGGATCCGACGATGGATTTTTTTTTTATTCACATTATTCATGTGTCCTCTCCTCTTCTTCTCTAGCTCGTCGTGATTTATCCCTTTTACACTTGGACTCTTGGAGAGGACGATATGACGATCGATAATCGATGGTGACGCGTCACGGTGTTGGTTTGCATCCAGAGAGAAAACGCGAGATTGAAAGAATTGGGAAGAGGAGAAGGTGGTGATGGTGGTGGTGGATACACGTTCGTTAATAAGCGTTGAAAACACGGAAGTCGAAGAACTGTTGATGGATCGAGAGAAGAACCGCGTTACACGGATTTAATTGGAAAGGTTACGACTCGCGCGAGATTTCATATTTCTCTTTTCTTTTTTCTTTTCCTTCTTCTCCCTCGCGTCGACTGAAAAGCGAAACAACCGCGGAAACACGCGAAAGCACCTGGTCGCGGTTACGCGAACAAAACGTAAAAAAAAAAAAAAAAAAGAAGGAAAGAAATCCACACTTCACTGGCACACCGTGTCACAACAGTATGAGAAGACCCTTCTCATTAACTATCTCGCCTGAGGGCTGCGAAAATCCGTGGAAATCCCGATCTTCGAAAGGGTTCAGCATTGTTTGAGAAGACGCGTGGTGTCGTCTTCGCGCGAGGGTATGTTCTCATCGACATCGTTATCCTCCCTTCTAGTTTTCCTCTCTTGCTTCTTCGAAAAAAAACGATGCGAGGATTCAACCCATTATTTATTTATTTTTTTTTTAATATGCGAGAGATCGATCTCTTTCCTTTCTCTTCCTTCCTTCTTCGATTCTTCCTCTCTCTCTTTACGTTCGTTGTCACTTTTATCTACAACTGTGTATACGTTTATATTTCTCCTCTTCTTCTCTTTTGTTCCCTTGCTCGTTCTCTCTCTCTCTCTCTCTCGTTTTTCTTTTTAATCGGCCCTCTTCACAATGGAACGCTCTAAGGGGAAAACTTTTTTCGGGTAACGCAAGCACGGCCTTTTCCGCCGATTTTCAGTGGATCCGTGGTCCCCTGGCTTTTCGCGTGATCCATCGCTGAAAAGACAAAATCAAAACGAAACGAAAATCAGAAAAACTAAAAGGGCGTAAACCGTGATTGTTTCGAGAAGCGCGTCCGGCAAAAGAGGAAACTTCGTTCCATTCTGTTGTTTCCTCTCTCTGGCCACTGTGTATAAATATAAACTGCGAAGTTCGAGCATGCGCGATCGATCGTTCTACCTTCTACTAGATCCCCAAGGTGTTTGTCTTTGCGAACGCGCGAATCGTCACGGATATTCCGAAGGAACGCGGAGGAACGCGTTCCGTGGAACGAAACTTAGTTACACGGAAATGAAGGCGCGAAACGCGAAGGATTTGGACCAGGTTTGGCCAAAACAAAAAAGGGAATCGAATCGATCGAATTTGTTCGATTCGATCGTTTTAATATTCCTCGTTCGCCGAATATCTAAAGGTTTCTTTCTCTTTCTTTATTCTTATTCTTTTTTTTCTCTCTCTTTTTTCTTCTTCTCCTCCTCCTCCTTCTTCTCTTCTTCTTTCTCCTCTTCTTCTTTTTCTTCTCCTTTTATCTTTCTCTTCTCGAGGACGTTTTCCGCAAGTGGTAACGGCAAAAGAAAGAGCGAAAAAGTGAAAAAGAGAGAAAGAAAAGTGAATGATGAGAGGCAGGCGAGATCGGTGGACTCGAAAGAGAGGAAAAGATCCGCGAAAGGGAAAAAGACAACGAAGCCAAGAGAGGAACACGAGGAGGAGAGTGAGAAAAAGCGAATGTCATTGCTGTAATCTTCGGACGTTGACTTCCTTCTGGCTCGTCCCTCCTTCCTCTTGCTCGCGAACCCCTCCCACCCGCCGCAAACCCTCCCCCCCCGCTCCCCCCTTCCCTTTGTCCTCTCCTTCTCACCTGCGCGCTCCTCCTCGCGATTCCTCTACCTGCCTCTCGCTCCCTCCTTCCCGCCCCTTCGTCTTTCCTCGCTCCCTCTCTCTCCCTCGAGCGCGTGTTTCGCCCCCTCCCTCTCCCCTCTCACCGCCGTTTTTCTCTTTAACCGAGCCTCGTTACGCCGGCTCGTGAGCCTCAAATATTTTCGTAACGATTCGCGCGTCAATGTTTCTCCTCTCCTCGAGTTGGTACTTTTTTTTTTTTCCTCCTCTCTCTCTCTCTCTCCCTCCCCTCCCCTTCCTTTCTCCTCTCTCTCTTCTTTTTTCTTTTTTTTTCTTTTTTTATAAATAATAAACATCGAATCATCGGGGAGAGAGGGGGGAGGGGGGGGAGGGGGGGAGGGAGGGAGGGAGGGAATCAAGTTACGAGAAGAGGCGAATTATAGTATTCGGTTTTTTTTTTTTTTTTTTTTTTTCTCGAAACACGGGGGGAACGACACACAATTGGGACGAGGAGGGACGAAGAGCGTGATGCGAATTTGAAACGAATTTGAGCTTTATACCGAGCTGGGAATAGAATTCGTTGAAAATCAATCAAACGATTTTGAACCTGTTCTCACTTCGAGTCGTTGAATTGGCTTTTTAGGACGAATTTTCGATCGCGGAATTAGACTGTGAATCGGTGTGTATCTTGGATCATGATAATGGCGCGTATACGTATCGTGAGCGCGTAGATTTCGAGTAAAGTAAATTCAATCCGTGATGTCGGTTTTATCGCGTATGTTCGAGGCGACATCTCTCTTCGTCAAGAATGACGAAATTAAAAATCGATGGAGAATTAATTTGCAAATGATCGTTTGATATCGATTGTATTTTTGATGTAAATTTTATGTTAGAAAGGAATTCCTTTTTGGTAAGATAGTGAATCGATGATGGATAAATTCTTTATAATTCTTAAAATTGATGCTAAATGGCGTTATTTTTCGTTAGATTTTTCGTCGTATACTTTTTAAGAATTATTACGTTAATTTGTGTAGAAACGTTTTTGAACATTATTAATATGTGAAATTTGTGATTAATTTTAATTGAAAAGTGAATTCTTTTAACACGTTGAGTGGAAAGATTAAGATACGATAATGTTTTTGATAACCAAAAGATATAACGATTGAAATCTATTAGAAACTGGGATTCATTAAAATAAAAAAAATAAACGAGTTTATTAACTTTTCCTCGAATCATCAATTAAATAAATCACTTCGCTATTTATATCAAAATTAAAAAATTGAATTAGAATTTAATTACATCATACATATGTATATTATTTTTAATTAGATGTTTCTGAACTATATATTTTTATCATTAAATTAAACAGTTTTAATTTAATCTACTACTTTTAATTCTTTTTACAATGCTTCCTTATTAATGTAAATTAATGTAAATTTAAAAAGCGTTTAAATCGTTATTAATTTATCAAAATTTACATTGTTAACATTTTTGTTTAATTAATACAGATCACGTGCATATACATTTGTGCGACAGCTATAAAAAAAAACTTGTTAAACTTGTACATATTATTATTGTGTTAACGCAATTTTTAAAACACTTTAACAGACGTGATTTATATCTGGTATGACGTAATACTACCACAAAACATAATTTCTACATTCTAAAAATAAATATAAAATTTTAAATTCCATCTCTCGTTGCGCACATGCTTCAATATAATAAAATCAACTCCTTGGTTTTTCCATGGTATAAAAATACACAGAACAAATAATTCTATTTTTCAACCGTTTACAATTTACATAGATTTTCCAATAGATATACAAGAGAAATGATATCTAAAGTGTTTCATTTCCAAACAAATCGAAACCGATCATTTTATTTAGAATCTCTTTAGATCGATTCACGAAATTTATTATATTTCCCTCTAATCAATATCCATTTTATACGCCAATCGCCTCCATCCGAAACGAAAGCAACGACATCTCACCGACCAGCCGGTTAACACAAAATTACGACTCTGTTTCGCGGCCACCCGCCCGCCTACCTACTCTCTACACTATACCCCCGTATCTCAACAACAACATCGGCTTTTTCCGTATTCCGTATATGAAAGAGAAGCCGCAAAGAAGACAAAAATCAGACGGTCTCGGCTATGCGCGGCTTTGCCAGGCTATGGTTCAAAGTCTCGCGGTGTGCGCACCAGAGAAAGGCGTACGCGCCGCGGGATATGCATTACCCGCGGCATAATCCACGGCGAATGATTTATAAATCGAGTGAATCACGATTTGGCACGAAGCAAAAACGGTAATCGCGAATTAACATTTGCATCGAAGGGTTGCCGATCCACGGTAAAGGGGAGTGGGGACGGTCGAGGAGTGGGGGGAAGGCGAAGGGACGGTTGTCGGGAGGAGGGGAAAGGGAGGAGGTCGCTCGCGCGCGCACACACGACGAAGCCCTTGTCCGACAAATCGGTCGCGTAAAGGCGCGCTTTAAAAAAGGAGAGAGAGAGAGAGAGAGATGGCTAGTCCGAATGGCGGTTTCGCGGCCTCGCAGACGGTCATTTGTCTCCTGCAACGCCTGCCTCGGTTCCGCGTTCCATCTGCGTCACAAGTCAGTGCGTTCACCTTGCCTCGAGTTATCAAAATCGGATCCCCGATGCGATAGCCCGTCCACAAGCGTGTATTCTTGGACCTCGATCGTACAGTTGGCCGCAAAAGTACTAATATTGTATTATTAATCGATATACTTTTGCGAAAAATTATCGTCGTACCGTAAGTGAAAAAGAAAGAACATCGATCGAACAATTTTTACGTAGTATAATATTATTATTTTACGGTACGACGATTTAATTGTTTATTTTTGTAATAGAATGTACGGTGAAAAATCATATGTTGGAAAGTAAAATATTTGGAAAAAAAAAACTGTATATTTTGGGTTATACCACGTGCCTGTACCGGTAAAAAAAACTAATTTTCTAAGTTAAATTATTAATTTTAATTTTCTTTAATTTTTTTTTTTTAATTGTTTATTCGTGATTCGTTTATTTTTATGTTATTCTTTATGCGATTATCATATTCTTTGTTCCGTTTGTTAATTTTGATTGGTTGGTGTTTTATCGAGTACTGAATATTTAACAGATTCCTTCCTCGAGTTTAAATATCCATTTCTCGATCCCGAGTTTCGCAGCCGCGAAAGGGAATTCGAGCGTGACGTAATCTGGCCAAGGTGGACTTAAGTATTTTAAATTTTCTGAAGTTTTTATCCGAATCGCTCGAAAATCGATTAAAAAAAAAGTTCATTCTAGAGAAAGAAAGTTCATTTTAGAGAAAAAATCGGAATAAAAAAAAAACAGATCGCTTATCACATAAGAATTAAGAAAACGCGCGTAATTTCTTCTTCCGTTATCTAAAGATCCTTCTATTCGTTTTTTCACTTTCTTCTATTTATACGTAGCAATACTTTTTTCCCCTCTCCATTTACTTCTATTTCACACGAAAAATTTCCTCCCTTTTAGACGAGATAATTCGAGGCGAAAAAACACACAACGCCCGATTGCAACTTTGCAAATCTACCTTTGCAACTTGCTCGGCAATTATCCGAGCGCCGCGCATGCGATTCGTACGAAAATAAAAGGGAAGAGGCGCGAGAGCCACGCTCGACGAGTTTTACCTGCACGAGACGATGCTGAATACACGCCGGCATCCAGCACGCACGATCTCCTTGCAATCGCGAACAGTTTCGTACGGCGTGGAGCGTCCTCGTCCTTCCAGGATAACAGGACGATGCCACCGTGGTGAGGAGAAGAAACGACGAAAATGCCAGAAATCGCGGACCGTGACTGGTTCCGCTTAAAGCCTCGTTCACATCCCACGGACTACTCGCGTGCCTTCATCGGTCATCCATGGGAGAAATCAGGTGAGAAATCCTCGTTTACGCGCATAATACGCGCAACGTATTATCCCTTCTTGAAAAATCCAACTTTCGATATTTCGAAAACTCTTTTCTTCTTCAACCGTGAACACCGATGAACAACACCTTGTGGGAGGGAAACGAGCGATTCGCGGGGATCGGCGAAATCCCCGAAACACGAAATCGTGTCCACTTTAGACGAACTCTGTCCGCCGCACTGAACGTCACTCGACCTCCGTAACCATCTCTTTCACCACGATCATTGTCCCTGCGCGTGGAACCGCGAAGCGAGAAAAAAAAACAACAACAACAATAACAATAACAATAACTACGTCGACCTACGACGACGACGAAGATGATCGGCGATAATGGCGTCGCGCGTCGTCATCGAACCGATCCCTTCGAACTCGATCGACCTGTTGCGTCGCGGGTATATCGATGATCGGCAAGTGTCTTCTCCAGTCACCGACTACAGAGTCGGTAAGAAGAACTCGCCGGTGGTGGTGTCCGTGGCGTGGTGTGGCGCGCGAAAAATAATGGGAAAAACGCGGGACCCCCACCGATATTCGCGAAACGAATTCGTAAACGAAGGGGGGCGGGGGATGGAGACACGAATGGGTGATCGAAAAAGGGGATGGAACCGGTCAAATAGCCGCGAGCTGCCCTGTTACGATCACGTGCGTTTGTCACGAGTCGCGGT